TTTGAGTCGCCTGCTGGTCTTCCTGCCGCCACCTCTCCTCCCGTTCGCTGTGTGCTCGCTGGTATTGCGACTTGTTCTCCCTCGACATGTTCTCCCTTCTGGGCCACATCGGCTCGGGAGCAGCCCATAAGTTCTGAGAACATGTCATCCCATGTCCTTTTCTTTCTCCACCTAATCTGCGCCAGCCTCTGCGAGGGGGATGCCAGGGTAGGTCGGGAGACAGTCGCAGCTGTGGGATGGGAAAAAGGGAGTGAATTCCTCACAAAGATAATTTTTTGTGAACAATGAACATAGTCTTTCTCTGTGAACAAGACCATGCACAGCACCTATCACATGCGCACTCAGGACAAGGTTGAATTTTCGGCCTTCACATTCAGTGCCTGGGGTCTTGCTGTGGAGAGCAGACAAGCGGGGCAGGACAGCAGAATTCGGGTAGCAGGCTGACATGGTAAGCCGTAGACTTTTGGCTGCTTAAAACTTAAATTAGAGCAGTGCCCTCCTTTCACGTTCAAAGCAATGCTCCTCTCGTTGGGCAGTTCCTGCTGCCGGCAATCCGGCAAGCATGAACTCTGCCCCTGTCCCACCCCCTCGTGGCTGTCCCCGGGAAAGATCCCTCTATGTTTCCCCTCTCCCGCCTCCACCGCGTGGCGGTAAACCGCCGGTGACAGTTCTGTAAAGGAACAGGCAAGCAGTCCCAATAGTAACATTCCCCTAATTCTAAGCAGGTCACCATGAGCGACATCACTCTGCTGAGAATTTCTGAGACCGAGAAAGAACGCATGCTGCGTGAAAGCCAGCAAAAACCAGGGCCGTATGCCGCCATGCTCTGCAAGGCAATGATCCCAGAGTACTTGATGATAGCCTGTCAAGGAAATGTTTCCTACCACAGAGGACACAATAAGGCCGCTCTCTCCAGGAACCTCATGCAAAGGCTTTCTAATTATCTCCAGGAGAGCTTCGTGGAGATGTCCCATTAGGATTTCAGTTCTATCCCCGGACATATAGACCACCTTTTCAGTAGCTGCACTGGCAAGGACTAAAAAGTAGAGCGCGTAGGGCAAACTAATCATGATAAACCGGACATTGTTAGATTCTTTTGCAGTAGTTGCACTGCCAAGGACTAAAACGTTAAGCGCCTAAGGCAAACAAATCATGAAAAACCCATTGTTAATATTCCTGTTCTGTTCAAAATAAATGTTTACATGTTTAAAACACTTACCGACTGATCCTTCCCCTGATTCAGGGTCTGGGTTAACGCCTGGGGACGGTTGGTAGGGGATCTCTGTGAGGGTGATGAAGAGATCCCGGCTGTCTGGGAAATCAGTGTTGTAAGCGCTGTCGACTGCCTCGTCCTCCTCCTCACCTTCCTCAGCTTCCCCGTCCGCTAACATCTCCGAGGAAGCGGCCATCGACAATATCCCATCTTCAGAGTCCACGGTCAGTGGTGGGGTAGTGGTGGCGGCCGCACCTAGAATGGAATGCAGTGCCTCGTAGAAACGGCATGTCTGGGGCTGGGATCCGGAGCGTCCGTTTGGTCTTTGGTCTTCTGGTACGCTTGTCTCAGCTCCTTGATTTTCACGCGGCACTGCCATGCATCCCGGCTGGATCCTCTCCCTTCCCTGCTTT